CTTTTTGTTGACAAGTCTTAACAGATTCTGTAACACCTGCTAAGCCATCCTGTAGTGTTTTCCAGCTGGGGAAGATTTTTAAACAAATACTTAAACCTGTAAACCCATCCTAAAAGATACTGTGTGGATGCGCTCTTAATCTGTGCCGTTTTTGTTTTGATTAATTTGCTTTTGTTTGCTTTTTTTAAATCTTTGCTCCCTGTAGAACTCTTTGAGCTGTTCAGGAAGCTTATCTTGAACTGCCTGCACATGCTGAGGAAATGGATGAGAGAGTTAAAAAATCAGATGGAACCTCCTGGGGTGTTTAACTCCCCACTCTGCAAATCTCGAGCTGAAAAGACCGTGAGACATTTGGTGCCAATAACCTGTGAGTCTTCCAGAGCTGGTTCCTGCCTTTTTCCAACCTCTAGCAGCAACCACAAGCCATTCTCTCACTGCCAGCATCTTCCATATGAGATGATCTAGAGATGTTGAGTCTTTGCTTTGGGAGTTTTATTGTAATAAAGACAAACTTCCATATGAGATGATCTAGAGATGTTGAGTCTTTGCTTTGGGAGTTGTCGTGCTGGGGTCTGTATCAGCTGGGTGCCAGGTGGTGATGGCAGAGCTCAGCAATTGTCTTACACTGGCTTTCAGGAGATTCAGTTTCCTGTGCAAAGAGAGAAGGTGGTAAATATTATTCTGTGCTTTCCTTTCTCCTCCCTCAGCTTTGTAGTGGCTCTGGTCTTTGTGGATACCTGTGTGCTTTTCAGGGAGCTTTGCTTCTTTCCTGGTGAAATCAGTGTTGGTACAGCCAGCAAAGATTCTCCTCTGGGTAGAATTCAGCTTTCTCCTCTGATTTTGCACTGATGTGTAGCAGGTTCAGTTCTTCCATGCTGCCTGGACACGCAGGAGAGAGCTGGCTGCAAAGTCTGTGGCTGCAGATTTATTACAGAGCAAATTCTGTAGCAGCACAAGCACCTGTCCCTTCCAAGAGCTCCAAACCCCTCACTTAGCAAAGCATTGCCCTCAGCCACCTGCATACCCTGCCTGCCTTCCACACTGCATGTGGCACTGCAAAAGGCCACGGCATCTCCAAGGAAATCTCCTCTTAAGAAATTCCTCTTGGTGGTTTTTTGCTGCGCTGCTGAAAGAACACACAGGGCAGAACCAATGTCCCAGCAGAGCTTTGCTTGTGTTACCAGGATGTGTTGGAGGCATTTCCCTCACAGTGAAGAGATTTGACTGAGCATTACAGGATGTGCTCTCCCTTAACCTAAATTTTTTTATTTCTACCCACGTGTGTGCATTTGTACACAGAATGGACTCAGGGACAGCCACGGTGCTACTAGTTTGTATTTCCTTGGTTGCATACTGCCTTAAAAATGCTGAGATCTCAATGAGAGCAATTCACAATAAGAATGTCCAAAGTTTTGTATTGTCAGTAAGAGGTAATTTTCATGAATAGTCATCTGAATTTGGAGTGCTCATTTGAAGAACATGCAGTAAGCACGTACCTAAATATTGCAATTGTCTATCTTTGCTCTCTTTTCCCCCCTACATATATCTACATTTATCTATAGCAGTCAACAATGCCTTGGCAATTCTTCTAATACTAAATATTTGTTTTACTTGTCATCTGTTTCATTCTCTGTTCTCAATGGCAATGTAGCAGGCAGGAGAAATTGAATTAAGCATATTTGTTCCTGGCTAACTCCTAGATCATTACTCATTTACTGCTGATGTTGATAACTGATATCTCCATATATCTCTGTACAGTGATTTGTCATTAGGAGAATCAGTTTATCATGACATCAGAGAATTCCTGAATTATGCTTTCTAAGACTGGCTTACTGGCTTTTCTTTGTGCAATGGGTTTTTTTTTCTGTCTCTTCATATTACAGTGTGTAATGATAGATATGCTGCTTGTGTCTATAAAAAAAAAATCATTCTTTGAGTGTTCACTTTTAATACTCTGTATTTAAGTCTGTATTTGTGAGGAAATGGTATGCTGCTTTGCATCCAAGTGGCTTTTATTCTTGAGGGACACAATTATTGTACAGTCCAGACAAACAAAGGGTCCTGGAACATCTCAGAATCTTACATGAACAACCTCTTCAACAGTTTAACTGATTTTTTTCTGCAGTTTGGAAGCTCAAAAGCTGAAATTTGGTAATCAGTCATGTGTGAACACAGACATTTTTCTTAAGAGCAATGTTTGAGAATTCCTAGCTCGTGGCCTTGTTAAGTCAAAAGCACTTAAATTTCTGAAAGTATTAAAGGGACATAAAAAACTTATAACCATGATTCAGGCCCAAGAGTAGATAAAAATGTTCAAAATCATCAATCATGGTAGAAAAGAAAGCAGAATTTTTCATTAAGTTACTATTGAGATTAAGAAAGATGGTATGTTTCTGTTTTATTGTAATAAAGACAAACTTTCTGTTTGATCCACAAGTAAGGCCAAGGTGAAACAATCACTCCCAAAAGTAATCTTTTTTTTTTTTTTTTTTTTTTTTTTTTAACTGAGAGACTAAGGCATTCCCATATTTCTACTGGTAAATGGAATGACTCAGGTAAATCAACGTTTGTAAAATTGACATTTGCCCCTACTAAATTATGCAAATGTGATACAGAATATGGTCTACAGTGACTCAGACAAGATACTATTACTAATGCAAATGATGGCTTATAGAGAATATGCCTTGTCAAATGTGTTTGTTACTATTTTTTGTGATAAAACGTACTTATGCAGGGATCTTAATGTGTTCTGTACAACATTTTGTTACAGAAAAATACCATTAACTCAAATTGACTTATTCTTTGTCAACTAAAATAAAAACTAATGATCTGGTAGCTCTGGGAAGTTGGTTGTAAGCGAGGAAACCTCACGCAGGGGGAAGTTTCCAAAGTGAGCCTGTGCTTCATAGTGTTGGACAAAAAAAGCATCTTCTATCTCTCTTGTTGTTTCAAGATTGAGAGGTGACCTGGTCATATTCTATGAACACCTACATGTGGAAGAGATTTATGAGTATTGCAGGTCTTTTATCTCAACAAGATCATAGATTCTCTGGCTGTTGGCTGAAAATTAAAAAAAACCAAAAGCCTGAGTTCAGAAACAACACATGTTTTGAAAGAGACTGTAGCTGTCCATTGGAACAAATACCCTGGAGCATTGGCAAACATCAAGTCACAGCCTTCCAGGCTGTAAATTTACCAGGTATTCTGGGATTGATGGGAACATTTGGAGTGGAAGAGGTTAGTGCAGATGGTTACAGCAGCCCCTTCTCAGCACACACTGTCATAGTGCAGAGAATGGGAGAATAACTTCTGTTTCACCTTTCTGCATTCATTATTCTTTGATCCCAAAGGCACTTTGATCTATCTGAATAAGAAAAGGACTAATTATTATTATTAAAATAGAAGTTATTTATTCTTTTCACATTCTGTGCTTTAGGAGCTTTAATAATACTTTCAGTAATTTGTTTTATACCTCTCCTGCATTAAACAGAAATTAAAATCGTAGCTTGAGTTCATTAACATGGCCATTTACCTCAAAGCTTAGTCAGGGTTACCAGAGTCCCCCTCTGCTATTATTCCATAATAATCAACTCATTAACCCAGTGTCCCTGTCTCCTGCACTGTCTGCAGAGCAGGCTGCCAGATTAATTCCGTACAATGGGAAATTAATCAGTACTATTGATCTGCAGTCTTCCTGATATGAGACTTCCAGGGTGCTCTTAGTCTCATGCTCTTTTCTATCATTTATCCTAGAAAAACATTAAGAGGCTTTATGTGTTTCTTAGGGCAATTATCTGATGTGCATTTTGGGGCTATAAGAATGTTAGTGTGTTTAGGAGGGAGTGCAGATATTGAACACAGTTTACAAACCCAAAAGACTCACAGGTTTTCACTTTCTTTCTTCAAGTGTATTTGTGTTACTGTTTCAATAGGGAAAGCTGTTTAAGGTAAGAAACTAGTTGAAGGTTTTATTTAATTGATCTACAATGAAGATGTCTTCATAGTAGACAGTTCTTCACTCACCTTTACTTTACATTTAATGAGGTTTCAATATACTTCCTTTTTCCTCCAATCTCTTTGGATTTTCTAGTCTAGTAGGTCTTCCTGAGCAGGTAATTCCTTGTATATCTCACTGAAACTGAGCCCTGGGTATGTTTGGACATGTGTTGGTAAGTGGTCACTACATCAAGACCTCTGAAAGTTGGGTTTTCTGAGTGTGAACAAAATGTGGTGGTTTTCTATTGTGGATGGTCTGTCTTTGCATGTCCTTGAGCTCCTTCAGCTCTGTTCTGTGCTCCTGCAGGGATTGAGCATAGCAGCAGGCAGACAGCCTGGGCACCAGGTCTGGAGGGACACCCACAGACAGGACAGAGCATTTCCACCTCTGGAAATGAGTGTGAGAGTGAGCAGAGTGTGACAGAACAGTCCTTGCTTCCACATCACCCTTTCACACAAAGTGAAAGCAGTAGATGGGCAGGAAAAGACTACCCCAAATCAGAATAAAACTCCCACCAGAAGCTTTATGAAATGACTGGAGGGATGGATGGATGGATGGATGGATGGATGGATGGATGGATGGATGATGGATGATGGATGGGTGGGTGGGTGGATGGATGCATGGATGGATGGATGGATGGATGGATGGATGACTGGATGGATGATGGATGGGTGGGTGGGTGGATGGATACATGGATGGATGGATGGATGGATGGATGGATGGATGGATGGATGGATGGATGACTGGATGGACGGATGCATGGATGGATGGATGGATGGATGGATGGATGGATGCATGGATGCATAGATGGATGGATGGATGGATGGATGGATGGATGGATGGATGCATGGATGGATGGATGGATGGATGGATGGATGGATGGATGGATTTCAAGACTCCCCCCAGGCACGTCTTCAGACCCACCCATCCTGTTATTTCACACAGCGGTGGCCTTGGTGTCTCTTGCCCAGCTGATTATTTTTCCATCTTTTCTTTTGTCCAGGTGCTCTCGATCTGCCCAAAGGACATGAGAGCAGACATCTGCGTGCACCTGAACCGGAAGGTTTTCAACGAGCACCCTGCCTTCCGGCTGGCCAGCGACGGCTGCCTGCGAGCCCTGGCCGTGGAGTTCCAGACCATCCATTGTGCCCCGGGGGACCTCATCTACCACGCTGGGGAAAGCGTTGATGCTCTCTGCTTTGTGGTCTCAGGATCCTTGGAAGTCATCCAGGACGACGAGGTGGTGGCTATTTTAGGTACTGTGATCTCTGCTGGAATGCTTTGTGGTCTGGGTGTGCGTTTTCCTTTTGCTGAGGTTTGAATATTAACGAGTTTTGCCTAACATCAGCTGGGACTACGGGAAGCTAGCAGTTGTAAGATGGGGATGCTGCGTCTCCAGAGATCCTTCTCTAGAAGCAAATCCTTCATCTTTTGTGCCACTGGGAATGCTCTTTCTGCCCGGTATGGCTCACTGGGCACAGCTACAGTGTCTCTGAGCAGAACAGAATGGCATCTGTGTGCTTGACATCTTTTAAACGGAGGAAATGCACTTTGTTTTATGTTACTCCCTCAGGAGGATTTCCACATTAACCTTCACACTGGGATTTTCATTTGTCTGTGTTCTAGCCCAGAATAACACCTGCAAACAGTCTCTGCAAGGCAGCAAAATTTTTGCCTGTAGTAAGCTGGCTTTTCAGAAAATAAAAAGAGTTTGATCTGACTTTGTAAAGGGATGGGGTTACACCATGTATCAAACCACAGTCATGAGAAGTCTGAGTAATGGGGGAATTTAGGTAAACCACCCTTTCCTTCCACTGTGCTGTCTGGTTTTTGGGAAAGAGCCCAAAGCTCATTAGCTTGTATGAGATTGGGAAAGGTGTGGCATGTGGTGGGACTGAGTGGTCAGCACCGGTGTGGGGGCAGGAATCCTCCTCAGAGGCAGAACTATGTGGAAGAAAAACTGGTGGATCTGCAGAAAAACTACCCAGAGCCTGTCTTGACTGTTTCATATAGACCCATTTATTGCAGAACTCATACCCTGCTGAATATTTGCCTTCTCCCAAGGTGGAGCTGTCAGTCCCTGAGGGCAAATCCAGAGGGTTCCTGGTCCTAGGGCAGCTGTCAGACCCCACTGAAGCTCTGTGCTGCTTCTTCTCTCTAAGGGTGGCTCCAGAGGGCTCCAGACATGTCCCCATAAAAATGTGTGTGAGCCTGGGACTGGGGTGGGCTTGGGCAGAGTGTGGATGGGAACAGCTCCCCAAGGGCATCCCTTGGATTCTCCCAGCTGGAGTATGAGTTCAGGAAAACTCACACCCATGCCCTTTGGAAATACCTGCTGCACCTTTTCTGCATTCCAGTGTCTCCACTAAGGTTTTAGAAAAGAGAGATTTAGTGTAAGAATGAATCTGTTTCCATATTCAGATGTGAAGCATTATGATGAAAGCTCCTAAATCAACCATTTCCATAGGAAATTATTCCTTGTATTCCAGCTCACTGGACCATTTCATTTTTATAATTAATCTCAGTGATGGTATCTTATATTTTATTAAAATTATTTAAAAAACAAAAGGCTTAAGAGGAAGTAGCAGCAGTATTTAAACAAATAAATGGTTTTTAGAATGAAAACAATAAGTATGTAATTTACTGAACTAAGAGCTATCACTATTGGATTACATGCAAAACTTGATTGCATTTATTAATGAATATTGTGTTTTGGAATGACACAACAGTAAGATTTTTTTTTTGTTTCTACCTTTTAGATGTATTAAATCTAGTATCTATGTTAATCCCCATTTAACCAAAGAGACTTTTAACCATATCTGGTTAAATGAATTACCTTTAATTACCAAAAGTGGCTTCAGTACTTCCATGCTTCAGAGCTGTGTTCATCATGTACTACAGGGATTGGCAGAACCTGTTAATGTAACTTAAACCAAGATTAACTGCTTCCTCTAGTCCTGGAACACACTGAAGAGTTTTTTCATGCTCTGACAAATTATTTAGCAGAATAGTAAACGGAGTAATTATGGGATGTTGAGTCCTAAACATTCACTTGTGGAAGAATATATCTCCCAGATGTAGTTGCAAAGACATTTCTAGTGGCAGCTGTGGCACCTGAAACAGCAACTGCAGATCAGACAGTGAAAAACAAAATTTTTACTGATCTGTTCTGCCTCGAGAAGTTCAAGCATAAGGAACATGAATCTGCCTAAGGGGGAGACTAGGTTTAAAAAAACTGACTAATGGGAAAACCTCAGTACCTGCTTTGAATCCTCCAAGCATCTGCTGCCACCCTGGTTTTCCCAGGGAAAGTCAACTTGCAGGATTGTGCTGCCAGTCTGTCCCTCTTCTCCACCACCCAGCAGTGACCTAGAGTAGAGGAAATGCAGTAAGTATCCTTTGGAAATTTGTCCTCATTAATTTCCACTATGAGAGCAGGAATGAACAGGACATGCTGTCTGCAGCCTCTGCTCCTTGCAGAGGAAATAATAGTGCAATGTGGTTTAATACAGTGGTGTGTTGTTTGCCTTACTTAAGGAAAGAGAGAGAAGGGGTGCTTTGTTTTCTTTTTTTTTGACAATGCTCATCCATGGATGGATGTTTTGATGTATTTTAAAATGTGGAATATCCAGGAGAAGTGAGTTGGGTAAAGACATTAAAACAGGTTAAGAACCATCATGTCCCATCTCTGACATTTGTGCTTCCATCCAAAGTGCAAGGCTTCATCCCCCCTCAGGTCCTGGCATGAATCACTCCATGGATTTTGCTGCTTGTCCATCTTCCCTTAGTGTGTTCCATGGTCTCCAGCCAGGGTGAGTTGGCACATCCAGCCTCCCTGCCTGCAGAAACGCTGCCCTCAGGAGCCTTGGCATCCTGTCCATGTGCTTTTTTTTTTTTTTCCACCTTCATGGAGTAACCATCCTTTTTTTTCAGCAGCTTTCTTCCTACCTCAGCAGTGCCAGCTTTGGTTTTCTCTGTGCTTGAAATCAGGTGAAGCCTGGTGATAGACAGGGCAACTTGCAGCACTGTGTCATTGGGTCCCCCCAGATTTGATTTTGTTCTCATTTGTGGATAATTAAATGCCCAGCCGCTGCAGCAATCAGCATTACAGAAATACTAACAGTAAGAGAATGACTCCAATTGCAGACCTGCAGTTTGTAGGACTCATTAAAGGAGATATCCAGGTGCCCCATTATGTTCCCCTCATTAGTTACCTCCCCTTCTCGAGGGCAGTGTCCCACCTTTTGCAGGTCCTGGCTGTAGCAGCGAGCACTCCATGTGCAGGGTGCTGCTACACTGGGGAAAAGGAGACACAGACATTTTAACATAACTCATCTGCAGTGGCCAGGAGAATGGAGAAGGGCAAACAGTCTTGTCTCTAATTATCCAAACTTTCCCAGCAAGCGAGGTGACCCTGAGAAGGCACGTCAGTAATTTTCCACCGTCTCAAGCAGGAGTAAACAATTTAACTGCTACTGCTCTGCACGGGGAGATGTTACAGCAAAGGATCTCAGGGAGGACCAGGGGTTTGGAGTCCCCAAGCTAATGAAAAGAGGCATCAGCTACCAGAGGGCACCTGATAATTCATCCTGCTGCAATTAACCTGAATTTGCTCCTGATGAGGAGTTGCACATCGGTGGCAATGCCAACCAAATGGCTCTGAAAGTTGCTTTCCTGCTACTTGCACAGCTGGCTGTTTAAGTTGTGCAGTAACTTAAACTGGTAATATTGATTAACAAGCTTTAAAGAAGGTGTTTTTTCAGCAGAAAAATAATGGTCTGCTGCGTTCAGATGTTGATTGTAGGAATTGATCAAAAATACTGCTCAAGCTGCATAGCGATAAAAATATATTGAGCAGTGAAATCCTGGTGGGGATTGCTGCTGAATGAACTCAGTATGATATTCAGGTCAGAATGAATATAAATTGAATAGTTCATGTTTCAGCCATGCTTAGGGTCCTGATCCCATAGTATTCAGCTGTTTACCTTTATGTATTATATGTTAATTCTCAGCATGTTCTGCATATCATTCCAGAGTAACACACTGTTAATTGTTATTAGACAACCAGACCTTCTTAAAGGTCTGACTCATTAATTATTTCCAAATTTTTTATCTGGGAAGGGGATATGATGCAGTATCAGAGGAGCAAAGCAAGTTTCTTAAGCTTGGTATGAAAATAGGGATGAGTCTATTTCCACTGTTAATGCTACCTGTGTTTGGAGGTCAAAAGGTTGAGTCTCCCACCAAATCACACAGAGAAAAGTTCTTTAGAGGAAGATCAAGTAACAGCTCCCATTTGGATGAGCAGGAATCCCAGGAGCTCCATAGCTCTCATCCATGGGCATTAGCAAGATGATATTTGGTATCCACGCATCAGCACTTTGAATTTCCATGCCTGGGCAGCCAGGCATGGGCTTTGTGCAGGACAAGACTGACTGAGCACATGGTGCACTTTGTGACATGAAAACCTGCTAGTCCAGTTCCATCTCACTGTATTAGTGGCTAATTGCTTCATTTTAATTTCTTTAGTTGCAGCTTGGGTTTCTTCTCAAGTGGAGTGAGGGTGGCAGAATTGGTCCCTGTGTCAAATAAGCTCTTCTTAATTTGTACTTGAACTTTTGTGCTGTTTTCCATGTGAAGTCGACCAAGGCAGACTAATTGTGAACATTTCCCCAGGTTAGTAGCATGCACCTGGTAGCAATTTTCAGAACAGGCTGTGTCCTATTTCATCCATAGGAAAAGTCCCCTGTGTTCCAATGAGTTAAAGCTCTAAATTAACTAAGAGGAAAATTATTCATAGAGGAAAGGGTTGACTTTTTTTCAGCTTGCAGAACTGAAATAATTAATGTGATTTAGGCTGGGTTTTAAGTGCTGAATCTGAAAGTATTTTGCAAAATATTTGAAGGGTTACTGGTCTGAAAACAAGTGTGATTTGCTGGTCTGCATTGTGCAATTCTTCTTAAGTGCCTTGGAATCAGTCAGATCTTGCAGGTCTGGGTTGATACCTGCAGAGCCATTGTAAGATTTAGTCCTACTGATGCTTGTTCATTGGTTCTTGCTGACAAACCTGAATTTTTCATATTGTTTTGTAAATTTAATACATTTTTGTGTCTCTGCATGATTGTTAATTATAAGAAACATCAGTCTTAATTTAGTGCCAGCTAGTGTGTTATAGATTTGATCCACAGCCTCCAGAGTCAGAAAGATTCCTTTCTCTGAATTGATATGTTTTTGAATTAGACTTGCATGCTTCACT